CCACTTGTTGACTGGCAGTTATTTGGCTACTGCTTACCAGGAATAACACAGCATGATGTATCAATAATTGAAGCTGAGAGCTCAAGTTTGAATGACAGAAAAAGAAAATTGTGCACAAAATGGCTTTCTGTTTCTCCTGAGGCAACTTGGAATGATGTCATTACTGCATTAACAATTAGAAGAGAAAATACTCTTGCACAAAATATCAAAGAAATGATTGAAGGACATCACTCAGTACCTAACGTTAGAAATGGAGCTGCTAATGGTGCTACACATAAAGAGAAAATAATGTTTAGCACAAAAGAAGATGAAGAACAAGTTTCCCATTCACTATCAGAACTCAACAAATCATTTACTAATCTAGAAATTGAGGTACGCACAGCTTTTGATGAGAAAGAAGCTTCAGATCCAAAGCTACTCATTAACTTGACAAGATGGATTGAGAGATACATGAACTGGAATGACAAGCTAACAAATGTATCATTAAACGAAACTTTTAAAATTATCCAGCCATACTATGATTTTATTGACTGCAATTTAATAGTGGATTTAAGTGAAAAGTTTATAAATGGAGTTACTTTTGGTAATGAAGAAAAGTTAAATATTGTGAGCGAATTACAAAATCACAAGAGAAAGGCAGACACATTTCGATCTTCAAGTACTGTGGCTTATCTTCATAAGTCATTGAAGGAAATATACCAGGAGCATACCAGATCTAACTAACATGCCACATATTATTATACACCTTCATAATCCATGGTATGGTAATAACCTAAACAGTTTAGCTCTTCTAATAAAGCATTTGTTACCAGTGGGACTTGTACAATCATTGTTCAAACGTATCACAATTCTTAGGGGATCAGTGGTTATTAAATACACTGTACTTGACTCTACAGCTGATAGTCTAATAGAATATACTGGAGGAAAGTTACATTTTTTGCGTCTCATTGGTATATTTAGTTTATACATTAATGATCATCCTGTCCTTCGTGAAGATGAGAACATGAACTTCACCTTTGAACTAGCTCTCCTTGAGGCAGTCACAGCTGGTAATAATGAAGCAGTAGAGTTTCTTCTTCAACTAGAAACTGTTAATATTGATCATACTAATGAAGAAGGCAAGACAGCACTAATGTTAGCTTGTGAAAGAGGACATGAGGACATTGTACACAGTTTACTGTCTGCTGGAGCTAATCATTGTGTTAACATTCAAGACAGTGAAGGATGGACTGCACTAATGATAGCAAGTAAACATAATTACATTTCAATCATTCACATGTTACTAAAAGCTAATGCTAATCCTCACCTAAAGAAATCAAATGAATCAAATGCCTTGGTGATTGCTAGTTACTATGGTAACTATGAGGTTGTTGAGCTATTGATTAGTAAAGGAGTTGATTATAAATATCAACGAGAAGATGGAGTGGATGCTTTAATGTTGGCTTGTCAAAATAGTCACACTCAAGTAGCTGAACTGTTGCTGAACAAGCAAGTTGATCCTA